GCGAACGTTGACATCCACAAATTCATCATCAGGTCGAAGTTCTTCATCTGACTTCTTCTCGAAGGTCTTGGCCACTCTGATGCCATAGCGTTGATGAAGTCGCGCAATGGCAATCCCATGAGTGCAAGTGCGGAGCTTGTGGAGTGCTTGGTCTCGGTCATGACCAGCTAGCCAAATGACACACTAGTCAATAGTCCTCATGGGGGCTCTTGGTACTTGAGGATCGTGGCTCAATGTAGACACCACGAGTACCTGAACGCAGCAAAAAGTCCAAAGCCATGTGAGGTACTCGGATCATCACTTGGAAGTAGTGCGCAGTTTCAGCTTTGGTGTTCTTGCCCTGCTGGTTGTGGAAGCTGCGGGCCCAAAGCTCCATGATGACACCTTGAAGCGTTTCACCAACTGGAGCATGGTAAAAAGAGCAATCCTTGCCGCGTTGGCCTTGACAAAGACGCAGTTGTGGCACCAATCGCAAAAGAGCTTTGACTGGACCTGCAATGATCTGTTTCCATGGCAGTGAGATCTCATCCTGGAACATCTGAACTTTCAAGATCTCCGTGTCCATGACCTCCAACTTGGGAGATTGCCGCTCCTTTCGTTGAATGGAGCCATCGCTGAGAGCCAGCAAAGAACCATGGAGCAACAGTGGCTCATCTGTAGCTGTGCAAAGAGCTGGAAAGCAGAAGCGGGTGATGGCAGCCTCCCCCCAAAAGTCCATAGGGATCTCTGCATTGATCAGCAAACCAAGGGTCGTGGTGCTGATGGTCTCAGCTGCATCAATGAAAGGTTTGGCCTCTTGGTATGTGCAAAAGGCTCATCCAGTAGCATCCTGCCCCACCTCTTCGAAAGAGATTTGAGGAATCTCATCTCCATCAGCATCAGTGAAGGTATCAGGCAAGAGACGCAACGTAGATGGATCAATCTGTGTGACCTGTTTGGCCTTTGATTGCTGTTGCTTTTTCTGCTTCGCCTTTGGTACATGCGCACCATGTTTCTTGCTGGCCTGCTGGGCAATGTGTGACTTCAATTCTGATTCCTGAACCCATCGGAAGCGAGTGCTAGGTCTGGATGCCAGTCTTTTCAGGGATGCCCATGGGTTTGTGCTCTGCATTGCCTCTGCAACGGCTGAAGCGCCCAGAACTTTGATGGCATCTGTAGCTCGAGCCAGAGCTGGTTCGACTCAGACAAGATGTGACCCCGGGGTCCATCAAGATAAGCCAATGTCAACTTTTGATCCTCCACAAGTCCACAAAGAAGCGCCCAATGGTTCTTGGTCGTGAAAATGCAGTAGATACTGCCATCACTCTCACGGAACAGTTGTCCAAGTCCATCGCATTGAAATCCAGTTGCTGTCCCAGTGAGAAGAGCACTTGCCAGTGATGGAGGAATCATCAGAGGCGGCTCATCGTAGGGGCCAAATGTCTGTCGGCAAATGCTGGACATGGCATGCCATACCGTCACATCAGTGAGTCCTGTCGCATCCACAGGCAAAAGTCCAAATGCCATAGGCGAAGCGGATGTGATGGGAGCGGGGAACGCCTGAAGACTCAAGTTGCCCCAGACTCGATAGTCAAGTCCATAATACTTGCCATGCTCATCTTCAAAGTTATGTATACTCCGTCGACCTCGCACTGTTGAACTGCTTGAAACAAAAAGGATCCCGGCCGGAGTATTGCCACATGTGTGTGTGTGTGTGTGTCATCTGCGGCCTCAAAAACGATCGCAAATTGCCCAAAAGGATCTTCAAGGTCGATGCCCTGGGTGATCTGCATGTTGTACGGGCCATAGGCTCCTTGTTCCAGCAAGATTTGATCCTCTGGTAATGGTCGAAGTCCATCGCAAATGTGCATCATCTCGCCATGCACCAGGTTGATGGCCTCTGCACGAAGCAGTTGCGTCACCGTGGTTGCACCGGAAGTCAAATGAGCACCTTCTGGCAAATTCACATGGAGGTGTCGGGGATTGTTGTTTGTGTGCTTGAACAATTGGAAATGGTCACGGATCATTTGTCGTTTGACACGTTCCAAGGCTGCCAAAGCGGTTGGTCGTGCGCATAGAAGATCATGCCCAGCAGCAAGAGAGCATAGATGTGAGAAAACCTAGAGAGCTTGAAGCGGTGAGGCTGGTTGACCAATGAGACACAGAGCTGCCCGAAGATCAGGAAGATGTGATACCGTCAATGGAACTCCATGAAGTGCAAATAGCTCAACACGATTAAGATATCTCGGTTGTCCATGCAATCTTGAGACAACAAAGCTACCTCGCAGCCCCTTTTCCCTCAATGTTGCCTCGGAAAAAGGGTAATCTCGGCATCCGCAAGGACAATGCGAGAATGCCGAGCCATAGCTGTGCAAAAAGGTGGCTGCCACGCCGTTCATGCCCATCAATCGTTGGTCATGTCCATATGCTGGATCAGCATAGTACTTGAGCTCTTTTGTGGGCAGCTGCAGCTGAGTCTCGTGATCAAGGCTCCAGCTTCCCCATCCAGGAAGAATAGAGCTCAATGTTTGAAATCCATCTGCAATTGGCCACTTCGTCAAAGTAGAAGAAGCCCAAGACGAAGGGCACATGAGAACCCACCACCTGTGGCGACGACAAGGCCATTGATGAGTCAAAGCCAATGTAGTCTCATGGATAGACCAGCCCATGATGTTGGCTAGAGCTTCCAACTCTTTGCGAACCCTGCATCATGCTGTGCTTTGTGGAGTGCATTCTAAAAGAAGGCATTGGACCACGTGCAAATAGGCAGTGCGCAAAACTTGTGTCAGGAGTTGATGCCGTGGATCAAATGAGCCTAATTGCCGTCCTTGAACGCTGTGCGATTGGCAGGGAAATCCTGCCACAAGTGTGGAAGCACGTCCCCCCGCACGTGTAGTTCTCCTTTGGCTTGATCATCACATAGATCTCTGCAAAGAACCTTGCCGTGCTGGTTGAGCTCCAAGCGCTTGCAGGCTATGGAAGAATGATCCAGTGAGGCCAGCACAAGGCCGTCCGCCAGAGCACATCCCAGCCCAATCCCTCCCATTCCGGCACAGACTTCTTTGATGGTACAAGAAAATCCTTCTGATGGCTCAAATGGAATCACTGTCGATTCAGAGTCCAAACTAGACGACGGATGGCCCGAGAGCGTAGAGGAGCAGGGTCTTCTCTTGTTAGTATGGAGACGCAATTTTAGAAACGATGTATGAAAGATGTGTTATAGGCAGTCGAGAAGAGGAGTATCAAGACCAAATAGTGAGAAGCTTTTACACACAGTAGCTTTTACACAGACACTTTTACACAAACACTTTTACACAAACACTTTTACACACAGAAGCTTTTACATACAAACGCTTTGACACACAGACGCTTTTACACACAGACAACCTCTACACACAGACGCTTTTTACACGCAAACGCTTTCACACACAAACACATTTACACACAGAGGCTTTTACACAGAAACACTTGAACACAAACACTTTTACACACAAACACTTTTACACACAGACGCTTTTACACACAGACACTTTGACACACAGACGCTTTTACACACAGACGCTTTTACACACAGAGACTTTTACACACAGACGCTTTTTACACACAGGCGCTTTTACACACAGACAAGAACGGCACAAGTAAAATCGCACTTTTACCTCAGTTTTTGCCGATCGACCCTCATTTCGCGCGAAAGGGTTGCTCCAGGACAAGTAAAATCGCACTTTTACCTCAGTTTTTGCCGCTCGACCCTCATTTCGCGCGAAAGGGTTGCTCCAGGACAAGTCAAATCGCAGTTTTACCTCAGTTTTTGCCGATCGACCCTCATTTCGTGCGAAAGGGTTGCTTTAGCACACGTCAAATCGCAATTTTACCTCAGTTTTTGCCGATCGACCCTCATTTCGTGCGAAAGGGTTGCTTTAGCACACGTCAAATCGCAATTTTACCTCAGTTTTTGCCGATCGACCCTCATTTCGTGCGAAAGGGTTGACGTTTCGTGACTCGCCGCCGGCACCACCCTCGGCCTTAAGAGAGAAAGATAAAAAGAAGGCATGAGAGAGAAGGTGAGCAGGTGTGAAGATGAGCAGATGTGAAGATGAGCAGATGTGAAGATGAGAAGATGGGAAGGTGTGAAGATGAGCAGATGTGAAGATGAGCAGATGTGAAGATGAGCAGATGTGAAGATGAGCAGATGTGAAGATGAACAGATGTGAAGATGAGCAGATGTGAAGATGAGCAGATGTGAAGATGAGCAGATGTGAAGATGAGCAGATGTGAAGATGAGCAGATGTGAAGATGAGCAGATGTGAAGATGAGCAGATGTGAAGATGAGCAGATGTGAAGATGAGCAGGTGTGAAGATGAGAAGATGTGAAGATGTGTGAAGATGAGCAGATGTGAAGATGGGAAGGTGTGAAGATGAGCAGATGTGAAGATGAGAGGATGTATGAAGATGAGAGGATGTGAAGATGAGATGTGAAGATGAGAGGATGTGAAGATGAGATGTGAAGATGAGAAGATGTTTTACAGACCCCCACTATTGGAAGAACCCTGCGCTCAGACGCTCTCGGGAACAAAGAAAAACAGGATTGATCTCACAAACCAAGGCTTGGTAAACAGTGAAGATACCGTTTGGAACCCTCGATGTGGAAAGCATGGTGCGATCAGTGCCAACCAAAAGCACCTCGGCCAAATCTCCAAGCATCTGCTGCTTTCGAAAGACGCCGGCGAAACGCATGCCAGCTGCCCCAGGCAAGCAAAGGAAAGGGGGAATGGCCATTAGATAGGTTCACCCGAGCGTTCGGTTGTAAATAGCCCTACCACTCACTGAAAGGGACTCGGGCCAGGGCTAGTTTCCTTCCCATCAAAATGGCAACTTAACTAGAGAGTTGGGTTCATCACAAACACTTGGGATTGTTGGTTGGGTCAAATTTTTGTTGCCCAAGTTTGCTTCAGTGTTTTTCTAGTCTTCACTTTCCAGTGCTCTTTCTCGTCAGAGGACCCCCAGCGTTTTTTTTGTGCCAGGAGGAATGGGGCACTTACGCTGCCCGGGCCGCTGAACTCTTCCGGTTGAAGGACGGAGCATGGCTCAACCGGGAGCTCACCTGGTCTGATGGGGCCATGGTTGGGACCAGCCCAAATCGTGCAGACTTCCAGGGTTTCGGATATTCATAGCTTCCCAAGGGGGACAGGTTGAATTGCCCTGCGAGGAAAGCCTCAAAGCGGCAATACCATCTTCAGGAAAGTTTTTTGAACTTGAACAGATACTAAAAGTAAGAACTCACAGAGATTCAAGTCCCAGGTTTGAGATTAGACAAAAAAACAACGAGAAGAAGGGGATGATGAAATGGATCTCAGGACACTGTCGCCTCCCTCTATGCCTGGAGCCTTTTGCCAAGGACAGCTTCACTGATTCACCTCAACGAAACCTGGTAATTAGATGTAATTATATAGTTTAGGAGGGTCTGGAATTGACATTTTCTCGGTACACGTGCAACGATGACAGAATGACTGATCCCTAAAAGATGATAATCTTCGATGAAGCTTCCTTCAGAGCTTTCAAGTAGACTGTCTCTTCAGTTGGTTCCATGGTTCCATTCCCCATGGATTGCTTTGCCATCCAGTTTTGACAACTTATGATGCCCGTTGCCTGATTCAAAAATCCGCTCACTTGTCGCAGCAGGTCCACTGCTTTGCAGTTGCTGAAGACCATGAAGCTTGCGATGAACTGTGAGGTGCCAAGGCAGCTGTTGAAGCTCTCCAAAAAGAATGTCTTGCAAAATCAACCTTCACTAGAAGCTGATGCAAGTGAAGTAATTATTTGCTATTTTCATTTGTATATATATATATATACCTCCGGTTTTTTGAAGGTCACGAGATTAGACATGCTTCACCAACAAGATATATAAATATTGAAGAGGAAATTGTCTATAAGGTGACTCCGGCATGAATCAAAGTTTGTCTTGGAGGAGTATGTTGACTGCACAAGCGGCATGAACTTCTGAGAAAGTTGGACATTTCATTGAAGACTGTGGCATCGATAGCTTGAAGTTCGTAAATGTCTCCAGAGTGCCTGGTGGAAGCCTCGAAAGCATCTCCTTCCGCAGGTGCTATGTATCTTGGACCCCATTGCTGGCACGGGGCTGCATGGAGTCTGGAAGCTCAGCTGGCAATTGGGGGTCCTCCCAGCTGTTTGGAATGCATTTCATAGCAAGTCGCTCTGGCTGCCTACCCACAGCATTGTACAATCAGATGTCACCAAGAATACTGGAGCTACTGGTTACTGCGTGCTGATTGAAAATGATTGAAAGATTCATCACGCCTTCATCAGAATCTCTGAGGGGTGCCAAGTTGAATAGCTTGCCTTTTACCGGCTGATCTTCCAGGGTGCTACTGACAAGTTGTGACAGCCAGGTTTTGCTCAAACACCTCGGCGCAGAGGTTCGGGGATTTTGACTGCCTGTGGATGTGGGCTGTTGGGATATTGGTTCTTTGTGGTCCGATAGATTTCGACCTTTTTGTGTACGAGGACAAGAAGGAAAATTCAGGAAGCATCATACTAACCACTCATCAATTATTAACCATTCATATGAGTTCACCACTAATTAATTGTTGTATTTCATATAATCCATTCATCCACTCTGCGAAGCGCCATGAAGGTGATCCTGGCAGATTCCGTGAATGGCGGCTCCACTCCGAGCAGTGGCGCGGACTGCGGGGAATGAGACGTGTCATGCAGGTTGCACCGGTTCCAAACCCAAAGATATATAAATATATATATATAATATATATATATAATATATATATATGTATGTATGTACTATATAATATATATATATGTAATATATATATATATATATGTAATATATATATATGTAATATATATATGTGTAATATATATATATGTAATATATATATATATATGTAATATATATATATGTAGTATGTATATATGTAATATATATATATGTAAAATATATACATATATATTACATATATATATATATCTAATACGTCTCTGGATGGATTAGTCCCTCAGGGAGACTGATTTACCTGGTATCTTCACCTTAGCGGGATGCACATCAGCTTGCGGTCGTCAGGACACGCAATACCTTCAGCAGTGCGTCAGCTCAGGCGCTTGGATCGATTACTTGGGATGGGCCGAATGACGTTACGACCGTTGCGACTGTTACTTGATTGGTCACCACGTGCTGTCGTTCCCTTCAGAAAAAGAAATGACCCTATAGCCACAAGGTTCGAACATGATGGAAACCCTGCCAAAAAGCATGTACCCTCAGGAAACACAATAGTGAACCAAGAAAGGATTTCAAAAAAATAAGAACCATGGATTTTGACCCATACCCACTAGCTATATCCCGGCCTCAACAAGTTCAGGGATGACAAAGGCTTGAGGCCATTGAAGCCCAATTGATGTGACCATGATCCACGCAGTTGAACCCAGAAGGGACAATCTATACCGAAAGAGCCTACATTTGATGTAAAAACAAGGTCACGCCGCCTGTAATGGCCCTGCTGTTTTTTCACCTTTTCAGTCGCAGATTTTTCTGTGTCGCATGACCCTCACAGCGTTTTCTTTGTCTGCCCATTTGTTCAGTAGCTCATTTTGGTCTGCGTTTTACAGTGTTTTGTGTCTGTTAAGTCGTATTTCCATTGCGTTTAATCATGAATTTGAATTCCTAAACGCAAAAAAATGGAATGTTTCGTAACAAGCGCGACATGGAGAACAGCTCAGGCAGTCCAAGTCTTGTGCGATCTTTCCTAAGCCTTTGAGCTGGTGCTTTCCAAGTGTATTGGATCGCCAGACAAAACTGTACACATACTCGTACTCGGCAATTTTTTCATTCAGCAGTCCATTGGGCGTCTTAGAACACAGTTCCTTTGGGATATACCGTTTCAAGGCTGACCATTTCTTGTCAATGCACTGCGTGCCATGCGTCTTGTGTCCCCGTTTACGCGTTTTACGCGTAAATTCCATTTTGACATGATTGACCTGAAAACATTTTCGTCTGGCAAGAGCCAAGAGACATGTTGCAGCGTAGCATCAAGAGCGTCTGGCAAGTGACAAGAGACATGCTGCAGCGTAGCATCAAGAACATCTGGCAAGAGACAAGAGACATGTTGCAGCGTAGCACCAAGAGCGTCTGGCAAGAGACAAGAGACATGTTGCAGCGCAGCATCAAGAACGTCTGGCAAGAGACAAGAGACACGTTGCAGCGTAGCATCAAGAGCGACATGTTGCAGCGTAGCATCAAGAACGTCTGGCAAGAGACGAGAGACATGTTGCAGCGTAGCATCAAGAGCGTCTGGCAAGTGACAAGAGGCATGTTGCAGCGTAGCATTGAGAACGTCTGGCAAGTGACAAGAGACATGTTGCAGCGTAGCATCAAGAACGTCTGGCAAGAGACAAGAGACATGTTGCAGTGTAGCATCAAGAGCGTCTGGCATGTTACAGCGTACCCCTTGCCACCCCACCCCCCCCACCCCACCCAGTTCCCCAAAGAACACACTATCCTTCGTGCACAAGTTCAAACTAACGGGCAATACTTCTAACTAACGGGCAATACTTCTAACTAACGAGCAATACTTCTAACTAACGGGCAATACTTCTAACTAACGGGCAATACTTCTAACGAACGGGCACTACTTCTAACTAACGGGCAATACTTCTAACTAACGGGCGGTTCTTCTAACTAACGGGCAATACTTCTAACTAACGGGCAATACTTCTAACTAATGGGCAATACTTCTAACTAACGGGCAAAGCGACACCGCAGCAAAAAGTGTCATATTCCCCAGGGCCGGTAGGGGCGTCGTGAGCAAAAACAATGGTTTCAGGTTTCGATTGTCCCCGTGATTTGTTTATTTGAAAGTTGCCAGGCTCCATATAGCTTGGTTTGTCAATGGCGGCTCACCTCCAAAACCGACTGGTTGATCTGGTTGATCATATTCCCCATCGATGGCCATAAACAGAGAGGCTCGGCAGCGCGTGCCGCTGCGGCTGCAGCCACGGCTGCAGCCAATGCTGCTGTAGCCGCAGGGCCTGCAGTGGTTCGGGCCACCTGGTGTTGGACATGGGAACTTCAGAACCATGAGGAAATTTCACCACCGAAATAGAGGTGGAAGAGCAAAAAATAGGATGTCACTCAGCACATATTCGAGAATGGAACTACCGACGCTAACTCACATGGGGCGGTGTTCCCTACAAGCACCCAAGTGCCTGATACAATCCATACGCAACATACCCCAAGCCCCAAGCCAAAGGGTACTCTGCAGCAAGATCAGAATCTGGGTTTACTTGCATAGTTTGTGAAAGGTCTCAGTTGCCAAAAAAAGGTGGGCTTACGGGGAGCAAAAGTGATAGCTGAGCTGAGTTGGAGGTGTGTTTCTTGTGATCTGTAGGATCCATGGCTCTTGGCAAATGAAGCAGACGCTGGTCTGAGGTTTGGGCAGAGCTGGAGCACCTGGATGTTTTCGATGATGGACAGGCATGATAAGTCAACAAAGTTTGCATTTCAGAAGTCATGTGGTTCACACGCCGTTTCAGCATGTGGAACATTGTGGACCCCCGTGCTGTGCAGCTGTGCAGGTTGTGAATGCCTGGTGGACACGACATGGCGAGGCATCGAATTCCATCCTGATGCTCTCCTTTCCACCTCCTCCACCATCCGAAGTCGCGGAGGTGAGCCACTCAGATTCCCGGAGCACAGGTTAGCTTTGGAAAGATCTTTCACGTCTGGCAGGCAGCATTGCGACGCTTTCAGGGCAAGTGGTTGCTGTTCCTGGGCCAGGGCCCCTTCATTCATGTTCATTGTGCGGTTTTTTGGCATTCCATTGTGGTGTTTCTAGGAGCTTCCAGGCCTGAAACTTGGACAGGAGAATGGCGCGGCTGCACGGGTTCTTCAGGCTTCTTCAACCTCCTGGAGGCGCCATGAAGTGTCGTGCTGAAAGTGTCATGTCAATCAGGATGAACCCCTCATTTGTGACTCTTGCCACTTAAAAATTAAAGGACCGGATAACCCCACATGTCAACTTCTTCCAACAAGCTCAAAACAGGTCTGAAAATGGGATGGGGAAAGATATAGGAGATGGTGGAAGACAGATGATGTGAAAGAACTATGGGTGATAGATAGAGCTGTGTGTGAAAGAGTTGTGTGTGAGAGTGCTGTGTGTGTGACAAGGAAAGTCTGTGTGTGACAATGTTGTATGTGAAAGAGTCGTGTGTGAAAGGCAGTCTGTGAAAGTGTTTTGTGTAAAAGAGTTTTGTGTGAAACGCTGTATGTGCAAGAGTTGTGTGTGTGTGTGACAATTTGCGTGTGAAAGAATTGCCTGTGAGCAATTGTGTGTGAGAGAGTTGCGTGTGAGGGAGTTGTGTGTTGAAGTTTGTGTGAAAGAGTTGTGTGTGTGTGCGTGTGTGAAAGCATTGTGCGTGGAAGTTTGTGTGTTCAAGTTTGTGAAAGACATGTGTGTGTGACAAAGTTGCGTGTGAAAGAGATGTGTGCTGAAGTTTGTGTGAAAGAGTTGTGTGCGTGTGTGGAAGTTTGTGTGTTCAAGTTTGTGAAAGACATGTGTGTGGCAAAGTTGCATGTGAAAGAGTTGTGTGCTGAAGTTTGTGTGAAAGAGTTGCATGTGTGTGTGTGTATGAAAGCGTTGTGTGCGGAAGTGTGTGTGTGTGTGTGCGTCCAGCTCTGCACCAAAGAGTTTTAACAGTATTTAGTTCAAAACGCAGGGGGTCATCGCTCTCATCATTGGTGGATGGCCAACGAAGAGGTCAATGATGAGAGCTGTAAACGTACCTGCAGGCAGTTCCTGGGCATGAGAAGACATACAGCTGGAATGCCACTTAAGATGTTCGACCATGATTGTTTCGGTTTGAGGTGCTGCAGGTTGCCGCAATCTGAACCAGATCCGTGAGTCAAGACCTGAATTGAGTGACTGTACTTTTGAAGTCTTGGTCCTTGGCTTTCTAAGTAATTTGCCAAGTGCACCTTGGATGGAGCAATTCCGAACTTCAGCAGTTCTAACTAGAAAACAGATTGAGAGCAGGATATTCTGCTGAATGTTCAGGTGTGCAATCAGCCGAGTTTCTGTCAAAGGCCGGTGGTGATCCTGGTATGCCAGGCTTTTGAAATGTTCAATTGAAACGGCCTCTTTTGGCTCACACACCACGGATTGATTTGGACAATGGGCTTGTCTATGAGTCTGGAATGGATTTGGACAATAGGCTTGCCGCTGAGATCATGTTCATGTTGAAACAAGCCGCCTTCGGACAGACAAAATCCAAAGTTATATCTGGAGTTGATTGAGTGTGATTACAGCATCTGAGAATGAGAGGCTACTTGTAAATTCCTCTCCTCACTGCTATTGAATTTCTCTCGTGAAACATGCACCGATCTGTCGATCGGCATTGATTGAGTTTTACAGCATTGGGTGTTCCTTTCATTTTTCAGATTTAACTCACGCAGTATTCATAGTTTCACCCAGTGTTGCCATGCCGTCGTCTGTGGCGCAGTACCATATTTCTTTTGTTGCTGGAAATTTGTCTGGCACCCGCGGTGCTGCGGCATCGGCACCTTTGCCTGTTTCACAGTCATCAGCGGCAGTGGCTGCACCAAATCAACCAGCCATCGTTGTTTCACCTGCAGTACCCGCTCAGAGAAGTGATCCTTTTGAACCAACTCCCAGACAAGCTCCTGCTCGACCAACTCCAAGTCAACCTCCTCGGAGCATACGTGATGTTCGGTCTAGGGGACCTGACCGCCGTTCGTTGAGTCCACCACCAGGTTGTTGTGATGTTCCTGTGCCTCCACTGGGTGCAGTTTCTGGTCAACCTACCCAGGAACCGTTCAATGTGTTTACGCCAATGTATCCTGGACTGCGACCGGTTCCAAATCGGAACTTTGTTTCTGCAGCACACACACAAATGAACAGGTCATGTCTACAGGTGTGACAGAAAACCAGGCCAATATTCGGTCCTGGCTGCGACACCATCAGGATCCGCAGTTTCCTATCAGTGCTGCTTTTGTCAAGTACTTTGCTCAACAGCTTGATCCGGCAGGTGTGATGGCTCAACAACTTTTGGACTTGAGGCTCTCTGTGTTTGATCCGCAACAACATATTCATATCGATGATGAAACTTTAAAGACTTACTATGTCCTTACTGCTCAGTTGTCAGATCGGCAGATTCCTCCACAAACCCGCGCGGCGCCAGCGCTCAACATTGCGGAGGTGGTACACCTGCAGTTTGTGCATGCGTCGTCCATGGGTGGCATTGTCCGTATCTTGCAGAATTGCCTTGTTGCACCCTCAAGGCTTCATTTTGAATCCTCTCAGTCCTTCTTTCGTCTTGCTGCAAAACCGACCTCTGACATCAGGTGGGATCGTACTGAACGTCTCATACACAATGCTTGGAAGTCTTCCAGAACACCTCCAACATCCTGGTGCTTGGTACTGCTTGGGGAACGGGTCAAGTTGTATATTCAGGTGGTGAAGAAGCGTGTTTGCAACAGACCTTGCATCATGGTGCGGTCCATCATAAGAATGGACGCATGTGGATAGTAAACACCGACTCTCACTGCATTCAAAGCTTGGCATTTAGTACTGATGCTGAGGATCCAGCGGGTACTTTGTAGTAAATAGTCACGCAAACATTTATTTCTTGGTATTGCACGTTTTTGACTTTGTACAGTTTGAATATTCAGCTTGCGCGGTCTCAAAACGTTGAATTTTTCACCTTCTTTCTCATTTCCGTTTGTGTGTAGGTCACGTACGCTGTCTTCTTTCGTCGGTTTTTTTAGTCTCCAAGTTTTTTCGGCAATCTGACAAGTTTTGGCCCAAATTCTCCCGTGGGTTTTGCTCTCTCATTCGTCATGTCCCGCCAGTGGAACAGGAACTACCCGTGGAGCCGGAAAGACTGGCGGTCCGACCGCCAATGGGACTATGCCGAGCCACCTGCATGGGAATCTGGTGCCCCTCATCAAGTTCCTCACCGGGAAGTGCCTCTGCCAAGTTCATGGAACCCCATCAACTCATTTTGATGACACTGTAGTGTACAGCCATCGTTTTCATCGAGTCATTCAGCCTTCCGCTTGGTCCCGAAAACGTGGCCTGGCAGGTACCAACCCGCTTACAGTGCCTATCGGTTTGTTGACCAGACACGGTGCCTCTGAGTTTTCTCTAAGAGCACTCAGTGAAGTTAGATTTCTACGAGTAGTCACCATGCGATCCATCCCGGAATCTGTTTTCCTATCACAGCTTGTTAAGGCAATCAGAGACTCAGGGATCGACATAGATGCAACAGCTGAAAGCTTGCATCGCCGTCGTGACCCCAATGCAGTCGTTCCTAGCAAAGTAGATTCACCTGGAGAGTTTTTGCAGCCATTTTTTCAGGACCTTGTTGATCATCTTCGAACCTTTGCTCCTGTGAAACAGGATTTGTCGACCATGCGACAATTGGAAGCTGCTAACGTTCAGCAGACCTTGACACCCGATCGTTCACGTCCTGAGTCGGCTCAGCTGCCTACCACAACCGAAAATTTAACCTCTCCTTCTGGGGTGTCTGGTGCTCCTACTGGTTCTTCTGTTGGTGATGTTCCTGATGGTCCTGCCAAGAGACGCCGAACCCAGGCTGTTTGCAACCCCAGGTAAGGTTGAGGAACCTCCCAGGGGAGCTCCCGCACTCACTCCGGACCAAGCCCTTGAGCCTAAGGCCGCGGTGCTTTGTCCCCATCCATTGGTTGGTACAAGTGTTCTATCTGTCAAAAAATGGGAGTCGTTTCTGGTGGAGACCCAACAACTTTCAAAGAAAGTTTTGGAGATGCTCCAGGAGCAACGATATGCCAAGGATGTATTGCAGTCATCAGCGGTACAGTATGGGATTCCGGTAGGGGATGCTTGTAAGCTCACCCCCAAATCTTTGCTGCAGGTCATTTCTATTGGTGCAGCCATGAGTGTCTGACTAGCAGGCCATGTCCGCACGCTGCCACCATGTGCTGCGATGACGGATATTTCAATTCTCCGCAAGTTTTTCATCCATATAGTTCATGACCTTGTTGCAACAGCGAAGACTGTTGCCATGTGGTCCTTATAGGCTTGCTTTCCCGACTCGCACCCTTCACACCAATTTATGGCTACGTCGTCTTCCCAGCCTTGGTGTCAGTCCTTTTTCATATACTTTTGATTGTGTCGACACTGCCACCACCGTTGTGTATTTGAAGATGCCATTTCATGATCTGACCTGTCATCTGCCATCGGTGTACAGTCAACATGGTCGGTTCTACATCGGTTCTACCAGCATTGGGGTCGCCAAGCGGGATTTCAATCGCATGGCAAAACTCCGTCAGGTCAAACTTGGCAAAGCTGCACATGCTGAATTAGCAATTAAGTACTGGGCTCGACGTTCTGACTTTCGCTCTTTCACGATTTTGGTGCTCAAAACATTTGACCTTTATTCCGAAGCCTGGACATTTGAGCACGTTCTCATGTCCAAATGGCAAGCACCGTTGAACCATCCGTTTATCCAAAAGAAAATTACTGCAAGTTTAAAAGCTTCGGGATGGACTGTACAGTTTCAACAACACAGGCAGCGTTTTTCATCTATGCCTATTGGAGATCGCCTTTTTCATCGTTGGGGTTGGTACCTTCCATGCATTCGTTTCAGGCTCAGGCGTGGCGTACATTGTTTTGTTTGACTGCTCCTGGTCGGCTGTCATTTCATACTTTTCGCAGCCTACGCTCTGGTACTTTTCATGATTGGGAAATCTATGCGCTGCATCGATTAGCAGGGCACCTTGAACAACCTATTCGAGGTCATGCGCGGAAACTTTCTTCGAAAACGATGATTATTTTGCAATTTGAGTGTGCCTGGACACAATCGTCCATTGTCTGTGTCATTTTTGAGTCATGCCACATTTTGTTCTGACGTTCA